TGTTGCCTCGTAGACCAGCAGTAGCTAAAAGAAACACGTACAGTCGACTTAACCTTAAAAGATCACGTGATAGCAGACTCGCAGAAAATTACAGCTATACGCACACACACACGCGCGCGTTTTCCTCTTATACCTTATTTTTATAGATGTATTTTAAATGCTCATTTTAATTAAACAGTATTATTTACATTTACCGGTCTGAATGTTCGAGAAATTTCGTAGAAAATATAAGCTTCTCCGACAGGAATCGAACCTGTAACCCCATCATTTGATCAGCCACAAAAGGTGTATTTTTATAAACAGAAATTCGGACTTAGTCCAAATTTCCGTTTATAAATGTACACCTTTGTTAGCCAAACGCGTCTTTGTGGCTGAATTGTTAACAGCACATCAGATCAAATGATGCTTCACATTAGGGCTTACCGGTTCGATTCCTGTCGGAGAAGCACATATTTTATAAGAAATTTCTCGATTATTCAGGCTGGTAAATGTAATTAATACTATTTAATTAAAAAAAAAAAAAAGAACATTTACTTAAATAAATTATATCTATAAAATAACGTATAAACGGAAAATATATTCAAATAATTGTTGAACTTAATATCCATTTCATATATATATATATATATATATATATATATACGTATTAAAGAAAAAACTGACCGCTTTAAGGCTCTATTGTAATAGTTTATTTCACCAGGGCCTTTTAATTTTCCCTGGATCCTCAGACATCACTTTCAAAAGATGAAATTAAAAATGAAATTAAAATTTACACTTTTGACCGGCAGTATTAAGCTTATATAAGTTAACATAGAGGGTGGTGAGGAATGGTATGAGAGACATGGTCGAGTTTAGAGAGGGAAGGGAGGATTTTAAAATTTATTTTTCTATTTTTTTCTATTATAATACTTAATATTGAGGAAGGAGAGGGTAAGGATCTGACATTGACCTATTTAATCGGCCAACTCAACGGAAATGATATGTGAAAAGGGAAGGGAGAAAAAGAAAAAAAGGGGGAAGTAAAGAGAAAAGAGATGTACTTAGGGTTTTCGGAGGAAGGAGACGGGTGGTATAGCTTTAGCAATTTAGATAAAAACAGATTTTAAAGTTTGATAGTAATTTAAATGTTTAAAAAACTCCACGAAGAAATTAATTTAATGCTTGCTAGCAATTTAAATATTCAACTTCTATACAAATAAATTAGGGATTTAATATGAGTTGAATACTATATTAATAAACAACAATAATAAAAAAAATATAAAATTTACCAATATTAATCTTTTAATATTGTGAATGACTGTTAAGGTAACATCTTTATCAGTTTAAGTCTAATTCATGAATGTATTTTGTAGCTATTTTTAGATGAGTAATATTTCTTATTTAAAGTTTAGTTTTCAAATCAAGATGGAATAAGATTTGAAGGTAATTGTAAAATATTTTCCTTTTTTCATATATATACCACATACATATTTATGTAAAAATCACATTCATGGACAGTTTCATCCTCCTTGGGATTATCCATACAGATTACCAAGATTTTCGTTACTTTATATATATATATATATATATATATATATATATATATATGATAAATGCCAACATTTATATTTTACGGAACATTAAAAATTATCCTCAGCCTTTTAACATAACCTATGCTACCACACTATGTCGCAAAGTCTCTAAGCCAGCTAACGCATATACCGGGCCCTTCGGCGACCATTCAAACTACCACAACTTTTCTATTTATTTTTTTCAATTTCCTCATTTCTCTGACAATATCGAGATACTTATTAATCTTTTCAGATTTCTGCGATTTGATACTTTTTTTTTCATATTCGTTACAACGAGCAGATTCAGTCTTCTAGCCTGAATTTGATGATCCATTTTCAGTTCAAGATCACGGAGGGATTATATATCATTTTTTAGAACAGATTCTGAGCATATACGATTCGCCTGTCCGATCAAAATGCAGTTATTGGCGCAGATCCTAGCTGATCTCCAACCCAGTTATACATGTACTTTTATTTTTGGGAGATAATTTACTATATTTGCTGATTATACACTCGATTTTCTCAACTTTATTTCCACCAAATCTACTTTCTCTGGTGTTCTATCTTGACATTGATACAGATTGTTCTTATGTCATTGTTTTAGGTCCACTATTAAGCGCGACTTCGTTTCTCTCTCAAAGTTTTCTCTACATAGCCATGTCTATGTCAGTTTATTTACTATCTCTCAATAAGTCTGAAATTTTCATAAAATTGTTTTTTTTTCCCATATTTGAGTTTCTGCTATCGTGTTAGTTTTTGCATAAGCTTTTGCTGTTGAATGTCGACTTTATTTGTTGTTTTATGTAGTTTTCAAATTCTTACCTTGTGGAATCGATGTAATCGTCGATGTTGACTTGCTTTTTTTAAAAAAAAAAAAAACCCCAAAAAAAACAAATAGCATGTCGAGATTTTCTCCGGTGGAAGTCCCGATTCCTTAGGTCTTCTCTTTTTCCTTTTTAGAAGGGCCAAAGGTACATCTCAGAGGTGGTACAAGTCCGAGGCCATGGTGTAAACAATGAAAATCGACCTCACTTTTCAGTCGTAACTGATTTTGAGGGACAAACTAAGTGCCTAAACCTCATAATGAAAAAGATTTATTCTCTAATATTTTCTTATTTTGCCAATGAGCTTTTTCTTCAGATCTTTCTACTTAATGCCATCTACTTTTAAAATACTTAGTGACTTGTAAATTTCTATTCGGTTGAGCGTTCTGGTGATTTTCAGGTTGAGCAGGTCAGTTCCTTCTGTTATTTCTCTTTTCCTGATATTCTGCGAACTTCTCAATGTCAACTTCAATTCCGCTCTCTTGACTCAAGATTTTGACCATTTGCATGAGGGTTACCAATTCTCTTTTGATTTTGGTAAAACATTCTTATATATAATTATTTATTCGAAAATTATAACATAAATATGTTATAAAATCACTACAAAAATAGCCATTTTGTTTCAACACCTCTGGTGTCTTATCAAGTGATGAGGTTGAATTTTTGTAGTGATTTTATAACATATTTATGTTATAATTTTCGAATAAATAATTATATTCGCTCTACTCTGTATTGAGCACTCTTTTAAGAATATTATTTGTTGGCTATTGGAATTCATTTCGTATATACCAATCCTATACTTGGATGGAGATATATATATATATATATATATATATATATATATATAACTAGGAACAATGACTCTCATTGGAAGACAAGTCTTTAGTTTAATCCCTTGCTGCGAGATCTACTTTCCAGATTTTCATTGCTTTCATTATAAAGTCCACTACTTCTTTTGAGATTTTTTTTACATTATCATACATTATCGTTATTATGAAGTGTAATGGGATTATATCTTAGCATTTTTATAATCTATCCATACCAGTCTTGGATTTCGATTAAAGTTCTGTTTTTATCCTCAGTATGTTTTAAACGATGTATCAATTCCTCCTTCTATTTTCCTTTCAGCATTGTTCAAGTCCGTCGGAAAAGTAGTCCTCGGCATTTAAGATGGTTGACCTCTTTTGTCTGTCTTCACAGAGCCTACTTCACAATTACTGTCACTGTTTGGTTTCTATTCTTCCCCTATTTATTAGGTTGGTGCAAAAATAATGACGTAAGAATGTCGTTTTTTGACGTTAAAAAATACGTCAAAAAACGACATTATTACGTAATTATTTTTGCACCAACCTAATAATTGTTAATCTTACTTTCATTGTTTCAGTTCTTTTCTGCTTGTAATGCTGGATATATAGAAGTCTCTCTTCAATCTGCTTTACTTAGCCAAGATCTTTCAAGTTGTCTTTTATAGTGTAGTCATTTGTATTTACACTTACCTGAAGTTTGTATCTTTCTAGCGAATCTTGATAGAATATATTAGGTCTTCATATATTTCATTCTCCTTTTTAGGGGTTTTGCTTTTTGTTCTCCTAGTCTCATCTTTGCTTCTTTGTTCCCTATTTTGCTTCCTTTCCCAAAAATAAGTTTCTTTCTTTGATGTGCCGTGTCCTTTCAGGACGTAGACGATCATGGCTCTCCACCTCCTTGTATCCCTTGCAGCTCTCAACAAGTTCCCTCTTTCTGCTTTCTCCCCTGGACCACTTGCTTCAGTCCGCCCGGTATGTCACGTGTTGTTTCCCTTGTCTCTCTTTCCCTCTATTTGACTCGGGAGTATCAGATTCTCCAGGCCCTCCTTCCTCATTAGGTGTCCCAGAAACTTCAGCTGCCTCTTCCTGATATTAAGTATAAGCCTCCTCCTTGTTTGCAACCAAGGGAGAGGCTCTCTAAGATCTCATCGTTGCTCACACGCTCGATTCATGATATCCTTAGCATCCTTCTGTAGAACCACATCTCCGTCGCATCTTCATTTTTGAGGAAATCGTCCAACATTCGCTGCTGTAAAAAAGGACTGATGTCACGTAACAGTTTAGTATTCTTTGTTACTAAAGATATCCTCGTGCCTCGCAGTACTCTGTCCTACGGATCTCAGTGTCGCACTTACCGTCCTCTGTCAAGACGCTTCCCAAGTATTTAAACTTCCACGTCTGCTTGATTCTAGTGTTCCCGACCTTCACATCGCATTTCGGGCTCATCCTCTTACGACCATGCACCCCGTCTTGTAGTTTATGCTTAGTCCCTTCTTCTCACTATAAGCTTGTCACCTCCATATACTAGAGAGTTCAATTTATTTATTGATTAGAATATATTCTATACATTCTGTTTCCTTTATCATTTTCTTTCAGTTTTTTGTTCCTTTGTAGTTTTAGTGGATTTTATATTCAATCATACTTTTATTTATGAAATCAATTTAATTTTTTTCTTCGTGTATTAGGTTTGCTATAGTTTCAAGGGATGTGTTATTTTATGGTTTTCACAATTTCCCTTTTCTTTCTATACCTACAATGCATAATTTATTATTATTATTTATTGATAACTTGCTCCTTCGTGTTTACCAACTCACAGGGATTACGGCGGTATCACGTTGAAACACCGGTTCACGTACGATCACCGAAGTCAAACAACGTCAAGCCTGGTCAGTACATATATGTATGACCGCTTGGAAATACCAGGTGCTCTAATGGATAATGGCTCGGAACTGTTAAGCGAAAAGCCAAATTCCAATTCCAGTTGGGTTCTTTATATTCACTTACACGCAAATACCCTTGGAAAAGCTATGAATCCATTTATTCTACTCCATCTATGGATTAATTAGTAAGACTTATCACTAAACAATTATTATTTTTAAAAAAATTCTTACAATCTAAAAATAGGTTATGGGTTTAAATAACCTGCAAAGGGTTGATAAGCCGTACAAAATGCACCTTCACAACGTCCTCAGTTTGCTTTTTAAACCGAGATAAGAATTTAGCATTTAATTTTGTTTAGATTTACTCTGTGGTCTATGGGAACAGCAAACGGGCTTGTTTACGACTGATAAACGGTTGTACTCTGAAAGAGGCTCCTTATCGTGAAATGTTTTTAAAGATGTTGGGAAAACGATCGGTTTGTTATAACGCCCAGAAAGTACCTGGCTCCGCCTGCCCTGCCCTATCTTTATATGACTCAGATCAGACCAAAAATGAAGTATTGCTGTCACATCTCGGCTGGAGTTGTCCAATCCTCACTTTCCAGCCTTGACAGAGTTCAAAAGCATTTATGTAGCCATATGCGTGATGATTTACTTTCCACCCTACAACCCATTTCCTCTCAGTCGAAATGTTGCTAGAGTCTCGCTAATCTATTGCTATTTTCATATTCAAACGAGTTACATTCCTTAATTCCACCAGTTCAGACCTTCACAACTAGGATCCACCATGTCATGTTCACGGTTTCAAATTATCCTCCTTCCCTTCGTGTTCCTTTGGCAAGGAGTAAGTTTCACTCAGACAGATTCTTCCCCAGATCTGTTACTTTGCGGAACAGACTCCCGAGAGGATGCTTCCCTGATCACTATGATCTTAACCCCTTTAAGTCCAGGGTCAACCGTTATCAATCCTACATATTCTCATAATATGCACTTCTTATTCCCTCTGTTTACACCCTTAGAATAACTTAATTCAGAATAACATTACATATTATGTGAACAATGATATAAAAAAAACAATGCTTCTGATCCGTTTACATATCTAACTTCTAGAGGGTTTTATATGTGTCATTCTATATGATATACTCTGGTATATCATATAGAATATGATATATTGGCCTGTATAGCATTATTATTAATATTATTTATGATTATTACTTCCAATACTATTAGCCAAACTGTGTCAATATCTGCATGTCTTTAAAGAAATAAAAAATAACGAATAGAAACTAAGTACAGAGTAAAAGGTAAAAAGAGGAATCAGATTCGTCTCATGCGATGTCGTTAAACGCAAAAATAATCTAAGTGGAATTAGTCGTTTGGCGGGCGAAATAATTCATTGAACGAAAACAGGCAATCCATCATAGAAATGGCAGCGAGGTCTTGTAGAGAATTTATGCAAATGTTTGAAAATATTTCAGTGACTCAATGCATAAAATGCCAAAAAAATTTTTTTTTTTTTTTGGTAAACAAAACTTGTTTTTTTTTTCTGTCCTTTACAAATGTTACTTAAATATATGTCGATTATTTTGTTTGTCTTATTTGGCCAATCACACACACACACACACACACACACACATACATACATATATATAATGTTATTACGTTTCACATTATGTATTTTATACCCGCTATTTTATATATTTTATACAAAAGAAACAACCACATTAAATAAAATATATTTCACCACAGGAGACAATATTTTAAAGTGTGTATAAAATATTTAATATGCATATAAAAATTAAATAATAATAATAAGAATGCTATTACTACTTTTCCAGTGTAGTCGGAAGGCTGTTTTACACATGGTGTCACTTATACGATACGCACATATTTGCATTAATTCGAATTTAAAAATGAATAAAATAAATAGCGAACTCCAAAATGTGCCCAACAAATTCTTTTCTATCCTACTGGTCACACCCAGTTCTTGATAATGACTAAGACGGTCGAAAGTACTTAAAATCAAAACAAAATATAAACTTTGGAAATTTTAGACACAATTTTGACTTTGATGTGCAACACAACTTATTCGAAAATTGAGAAAGACAAAAAAGTTAAACAGACGAAATCGGCTAAATTTAACAAAATTTGGTTAAATGAATTCTTGTTGCCATATATATATATATAAATATATATATATATATATATATATATATATATATATATATATGATGTTATGTGTGTGTGTAATGTAACATTATTTAACGTTTGGTTAACTAATTAAGTGGAAATTAAAAGCGAGAAATACTTAAGGCGAGAAGAAGCTATCACGAAAGACATACTGAGCGATGTTTTTTTTTTTAACAAAAGAAAAGTGGTAAAGATTTTATTTTCATTTGCGAAAAAAAAGTATTTTTCCGCAGAAGATAGGAAATTCGTAAGATCTCGGATCTGTTAGAATTAATTTATGCCATGACGCGGCGAATAAAAGATAGCAATCTGCCCATGGCAATAATAAAAATTTCAAATTGGTCAAAATTTTACAAAGCAGAATGCTAGAAGATAATCAGAATTAGGTCGAGCATCTAAGACCCACCCCAAAAAAAAAAGGGAGGAGGAAGAGAAAAAGGAAAAGAATAAACCATTAACTATCTTTCGGAGATATCATTTGGTTTTGGAAAGGGACACCTGTTTTGTGTCAGACCTTGCCATGATAAAAGTTTGTTATATCTGGACGATTAATTGGCGACAGAAGGATACAAAGAGATTCACTTGACCACCCCGATAATTACTTGACGAAAATCTCGTTGATGAATTCCAGATGACATTCAGTTAAGATAGAGACTTAATGACCACACTACGAGTCTTGGGGGTTCTAGTCAGGGAAAAGAAAAGAAAAAAAAAAGGAAATAATAATTTTTTCTTTGAGCGATAATTTTAAACTGAGGCCAGTCTAGCCCACCCACACTGCTGAGCGTTCATTGGCTGAATGGTGGCGTGAGCGATGGGCGAAGGTAAACATATGAGAAGAAGGAGGGAAACCTGTTGACGCCTCTGAGGGGATTGGTGTGAGATACCACTATGAGAAAGAAGGAAACCTGTTGACGCCCTCTGAGGGGATTGGTGTGAGATACCAATATGAGAAAGGAAGAATTTGGGAGGACAATTCCTTAAGAACCCCTCTAAAATAGAAAGTAATGACTTCAAAAATGGAAAGTGATAAATTTTCCTGTCCGAAAACAAAGAAAATCCTTATTGTGGATTTGGAATTATCGAGGAACCCAAACCACGACAGGTCCCCACCCGGTTTTGACCGACGTCCATATAAACGAACGTCTACAGCAGAGTTAGTCGCAGGGCAGAGGACAGTGGCAGTTGGGCAGTTACAGTTGGAGAGACAGATGGGGCAGACAGAGTTAGAGAGGCAGCAGAGTTGAGCTGTGAGCTCTGAGACCAGCCTCGCAGGAAGCTGACTGAAAGATTTCCACGCATTCCGACTTCAACTTCTAACCAAAAACAATTTTTTTTGAAGAACAACTTAGACTCACTCCACCAAAACAAGTTTTACGAATATCGGCTGAAGACATCAAAAAACAGTTTATTGAAAAACAACTTATTAAGACTCGCCTAACAAACACAAAGTGTCACGTATCCATAGAAGCGGTTTGGGAGAAAGACGCAGTCCTGTATTCATCAACCAGATAAAAAAAAAAAAAGAATAACAAGTATCTTTATAACACATTTGAATCTTTCCAGTTGTTACTTTATTTTCTTTTATATATACTTGTGTGGTATCACCTTTGTCCGAATTCGGCTTGCACTACGGCCCGCCGACTGATTCATTTCGTCTACCTAAGATCAAATCACAACGTGGGTAGGTTAGACTAGAAATCAAAGCAGTTACTTCGGTAACCAGACGTTGGAGGCGAGTTGGAAACAACAAGGCTGATGCCGAATCTAACCAGATTTCCATCCGAATCAGCAAAGGGTTAGAACGTCACAGGATAGCACAGGAGAGTCCCAGGGTGACGTCACACACACACACACACACACACACACACACACACACACACATATATGTTTTATATATATAACGTTTTAATTTTCTTTTGTCCGTGACTAAAAGTTTAATGCAGGCATAAAGGTGGTTGATGTTACAGTCGTACAGTCTTCGGGCAGTAAAAAAAAAAACAAACAAAAAACCAAAAAAAAAACAAACAAAACAAACAAAAAAACAAAACAAAAAAACAATATAATTTGTTTTTGAGGTAGGAGTAAATAGTAGTGTCGTCCGTAGAGATGCCTACTTGGGAACCTATGACATCAGGAAGATTGTTAATGAAGATAAGGAACAGAGTAGGGCCAACGATAGATCCTTGGGAAACACCTGCGTTCGTGGGATAGGAGCTGGAGGAGAATCCGTTGAGGACGATCTTCAATACACCGTTTGACAGGAATGATTGTATTAAGTCGAATAAACGACCTGTAATTCCATAAGCCTAAAGCTTTCAAAGAAGGCCGGCATGCCGAACCCTATCAAATACTTTGGAAATATCTAGAGCCACGGCACGAGCTTCTCCGTTATTATGAAGTGCTTGGTAGACAATTTCAGTTATGGCCGTAAGCACATCAGCTGCAGAACGGGCAAAGCGGAAGCCATATTGTTTGTCAGAGAGCAGATTATGGGATGTAAGGTGCATAACCACTTCAGCATTGATTAAAGCTCCAAAGACTTTGCCGAATAGTGGTAGGAGACTGAAGAATTAGGTTCGGATCATATATATAATCATTTTGGATGTGGTCGTAATACTTTGGATATTGATAAGGTTAGATAAATTGTTTTAAATAGTAGATATTAAGGAGTTAGTAGGCAATATTATATACTTGTTTTTATTTAATCTTAACAATATAAACATGGTGCACGATCGCCCCTATCATCCAATTAATATAAATGCGATGAAACATGATGGGACGACGTTCGCCTCGTTCAGTCAGCCCACCTATGACTCTTACTGATACTGAGCAAACTTTCCATACAAATGTAACAG